TTTGAATCTAAGCATATGTCTATACTAAAGAAATAAGTAGTACACAAATAAGATTTTTACTGGAGGGCGGGGGTGTAGGTGTGAGATGTAGGTGTGGATGTGAGTGTGGGTATCGGTGTCGCTGTGGATGCGAGTGTGGGCGATATGCAACCATAAAAACTCACACCCTCGCTCGCATCGATTTAGGAAGTGAAATAAAAATGTCGATGCTATGCCTTTTTTTCAACGAGAAAAATCATTCGTCAGAAAAAGAAGCGAATTGGTTGGTTTTATTCTAATCATCGTCAAAATTTGTGTGTTTTTGACTTTAAGGAGTGTGAGTGTGGGTGTGCGTGGGTGGGTGAATGGGCGTGGCTGTGAGTGTGAGTGTGAGTGGGTGGGGCTGTGGCTGGGTGTGGTGGGTGTAGATGTAGAGGTTGATAAGAACTTAAACCAACACCTACATCCGCAGCCGCCACACACCCACATCCACATCCACACTCACATACACCCACACCTATCCTCAGTTACTCCACACCCACACCCATTGTCAGCCACTCCACACCCACACCCTCAAGAGAAGAAGACTAATAGCAGCTTCAAGTACACTACCATCTGATATCAAATAAAAGCGACTCATAAGACGGATTGTCTTATTGCAATGTTATCTTCTTGAAAGTTGGTTTTTTCTTTTTTCTGATAAAAAGCCTTATCTGGAGTATGCTATAAAACTGTGTTACGACTTATTACAATAAAAGGTTGCAAACCATCTCGATAGTTGAAAATATCGACTAACGCAAAATGTGCTATATTAGCTGAACAATAGTATTTAAGTCGCTATGAAATAAGACATTCTCAGTTTTGATTAGAAATACGCCAGTGCCAATTAAACGGGTCCCGTTTAACTGGATATTAGATTACTCTGAGTGTGAGTTAAAACGAGTCAGCACGAAAACGTTACTGAGTTTCACCACTTACACACGTAAGCGCGGCCCAAGTATGGGGATGGGTGTGCATGTGATTGTGGATCTTCTCTGAATCCACACACCCACACCCCACACTTTAACGAGTTAAAATGCGTTAAAGTTTCGAACGAAATATAATGCAATAATAAACTGTAGGCTGTAGTTGTGGGTGGAGTGTGTGTATGGATGGGTGGGTCGGTACGGGTGTGGATCTTATTCTTTCACATCACCACCCATACCCACACCCACTAGTGTCCTACAGGAACAACTTTTATCGGTTCTTGTTTCCGTTCTCGTTCCCATAAAAAAGGTTTTTTGTTCTCGTTTCCGTAAGACTTTCATCGAATCAAACTGTTGAATGTGTCTTAGCTATATGTTTCTTTCAGGTTTGTATGATTTACTAAACGGCTCTGGGTCAAAAAAATAATAAACCGTTCAATCCTAATGGGACCCTGTCAGCATTTAGACATCCCACGACTATACGCTTCTTTCAGGATTTAGGGGTTTCACAAAAAGTTTCTGGTTGAAAACTAGTGATGAAACATTCTGGATCCCTATTGAATACTGATTTAAATCCTGCCAGAATCGTGAAATTCCGTGGCTACACACTTCTTTCAGGATAGTCGTTTCCTCAAGGTAAACACAGTAAAACCTGGAAAGATCCGTATTGGATTTATTAAAGATCAAGAAAGGAAATATTAAGAATTGTCACTTAGGACACAACTGAGGTTTGCTATGTTGAAAAACCTTCGTTTTGGTGAATTTCGCCTATATTCATTTTTAGTGAAGACAGTTTAATGCATGTGGAAATAGGATACAACGATTTTCTGGAACGCTACTTTTTTAGTCTTGTTCCCGTTGCTAAAGCCTCACGGGAATTCCCGTTCTCGATTCCCACGGGAAACGCAACGGAAAAATACGGGAAAATTTTGTTCCAGCAGAACTCTAACACCCACACCCACACCCGACAGGCTTATTAAAATTACATATTGAAATAAAACTAGCTTTAGAATATAAGTTTTCATAATGTTCATGTGATTGCTAAGTTACTTATCGATTATTTTTCAACTTATCGTCATGGACATAGATCATCTCTCTTGAGTGGTGAAAATCACAGGTCGCTATCTGATTTTATTTGAAAATTATTCGAAAGAAAAGATCACGGCGAGTATTTTTGTCAACAGACCATAGTTTTTATTTGTTCTCTTTTAGACGAAAAGATGATATGTATTATTGGAAATTAGATGATAAAATCTGTTCATATATTCAAGAAGAAAAATTTGAATTCAGTAAAGCATCTTTATATTGTTAGCAAAAAAGTACAAGATAATTTTCTCAATTATTTTCCAAATGCTAATCAATTAAGTATTAGACATTATTTTAAAACATTAGTTGATTCGATTACAGCAACTCTTCGTCATATGATTCCGTTAAGACAACTTGCGAAGTTAGTCATTGAATGTGGTGATTTTCCAATGGAAGATCTTATTAAATTATTACGTTTTACATCTAATGTACATACATTAGAATAATTTGGATTATTTTTAAATAGCATTAATCTAAATTTCATTAAAGAAAAATGAAATTTTTCAATATATTATTCGTACTTGGTTGGTATTTGATGAAATTCCATTTATTATTTATTTATTTCCAAAATTCTTATAGCTTAAAACTGGAATAAATAGAAAAGAAACAAGACAAATATTTCGATTGTTATTATCAAAAACTCATAATCGAGCACGAAATTTATTCTATTTACGTATTCGAAGTGTACCGAAAGTACACTTAAAAGAAGCAAAAGTTTTAATTGAATCAAAAAATTTACTCAATAATTGCTCTATTAAATATATTAATGATGGTTTACATTGATGGTGATAAAGATTATGTTGTATAGGACTTGTTTGCTTTTATTTTTTATTTTGTTTATATAATAACTATTACGTTTGTGTAAATAAATCAGATTATGATTTTATTTTAATTGAGAAAAAAAATTCAGCAAATCTAAAGAGATCAACCACTTGAAACATATAACTAATGGAAAATACGATCAATAACTAGAAAAAATAAGATCATGGAAAATGATAATTATAATACTTTTTATGATAATTTAAGATTATTGAATTGAGTTCGTAGGCACGCCTATCAAATATTGGGTTTTACACATTCCGGGCAATTATAATGAAAAAATATTGAAGATAATATTTTTTCGGTGTTGGCCTTGAAGTTGATATCATTTTTAGAATATTGGTGATTCGTTATACTATTTTATTGTACGCATTTTTGATTTTATCTTCTCGAAATATTTTATTGTGAATTTATCGACATTTGCTAGTATAAAAAGACAAATTACCAGGAGTAAAAAGTAAAACAACTTAACGAGCATTTCAGACGGGATTCAAGTCACGAGGAACATTATAACCTCTTGTGAAATATCTTCCAAGGACGTCAACATTTCATGGATACAAATTTGAATGATTAGTTCTGGTTGAATGTATTCGATATACTTCCATGTGCCAAGAAAAACAAGCGTGAAATTTGAATAAGCTTCTTCCTTTTGTTCAAAGAATTGAGGGTGTGGATTATACGTTTGTGTAGTCCGGCGTTTGACTTGAAGGAAAGAGAAAGTTTATTCTCATTTCTAATGAAAATATCAACATCTATATATAGAAATTTTTCAAAATGCAAGTATTTGCTCGAATGGATTTATTTGTTTTCTTCCCAATTAAAAGAATCTATACGTTAGTAGATCGATGCGCGCGAAAAGACGATCAAAAAATGCAAATAGAACATTGTGTCAATAACTTTTTACAATGAAAAAAAAAACTAAATGGATGATCATGGCTTGTAGAATATGGTATAGAATTAAGTTTTAAGATTGTGTTATACAGATAACTAAAACTGTTGCCTATATTTTTTTTACATCGAATTGATAAAGTAGGAAACTGTGTACAACATTGACGAGATATTTTTTCAATCCATTGCTCTCTTATCAAATCGATATGTAATTATAAATTACGTAGTGTGTATCCATAGAAGTGTCAGAAGAAGAAAAAAAGCTACATAAGACATTTGCTATTGTGTATTTGTCTTTCATTTTCACCAGAACAGTAATAGCAATCGGAAGCAATTATTTTTATCAACCATTCCGATAAAAAAGGTATGTGATTATAAATAAAATATGACCTATTCATATGACTCTAGTTAGGTTTTTGATTTACGATGGATGATAATAGCCGACTTCGTGTGCATGAAGTTTTACATCGAAAGGGTGACGAAATTACTGAAGCCGAGTATGTGTATGATGAAATTCATTCCAATGGTAAAATACGTCAACATCATGTTCATGTCAAGAGAGAAGAGTTTGAACGACTAGCTAAAACGATTAAGAAACCGTGGTTATCATTTAATAGTTTCACAAAAGTGACACGAGCCTTACTGATGGGACATCATGCAGCAGAAGATATACCTGAAGCATTTCGTCTACTTGACACCGACGATTCAAACACTATTGATATTGGCGAACTGGCTGCATTTATGCCCGCCATTATACCTAATTCCAATTCATATATGCTTCTTCGTTATTTTCAACCGGCTGATACCAACAACGATTATAGACTCAATTTGGATGAATTTACTGCGTTTATAAAGAAAGGAGTTGTCCGAGACCTTGCACTTGGACGCAATTAAGATAAAACTCTTTTCAATAAGAGACCTCTTACGAAATATGTAGTGCCTATTTATCAAAAATAAAATTTAATTCGAGATCACTCGAATCTCAGATATTTAAAATAACATAAACAACCACACATACTAACACTCACAGCCACAGTCGCATCCACCCATATCCACACACAGAGCCACATGAAGGATTTCTTCTCAGCGACTGGATTTTCAGTTTGATCTGCTCGAAAATTCTCTGAGTAAAAGAGATTCTCTCAACACGTTCAGTCGAATGAATAAAGAATCAACATCGTGCTTGGAAGAAAATGACACGTTGGATTTGTTTTCTCTCTCGAAACGATAATGAAACACAAGTGAGTTCTATTTCAAGGGCAGTGGTAGAACACTGCTTTTCATTCTTTCAACATTTCATTGTTAAGCTGGGTTGCGTCGAGAATAAACAACGGATAGAACCATCTGTCCATTGATTTGAATAGCGGGATCGTTCGGTGATACCTCTTCATGGACAGATCCGAGTCTTTCTGGAATCGCTCAGGACTTGAGATTGTTGATACCGCAGTGAATTTCCACTCGTTTTACATTCCAGACTTTAAAACCAAATTGCAGCAAGTCTTCCACTGGCGTGGGTGTCGGTGTCACTGTGGATGCGAGCATAAAAACTCACACCCTCACTCGCATAGATTTAGGAAGCGAAATAAAAAAAAGTCAATGCTATGCCTTTTTTTTCGATAAGAGAAATCATTCGTTAGAAAAGCCGATTGGTTGATTTCATTCTGATCATCGTCAAACTTTGTGTGTTTTTGACTTTAAAATACCAAAGATAACTTCTAAACAATTAAATAAAGATAATGACTATGAGCAATTATTTCAGTTTTAGACTCCTTCGTTTCAATTTTTTAATAAACAACTTTTTTGGAAGTGTTTTTCTTTAATATGGACTGTGAATTCTAAAAGGCTACAGTCATTTTTAAAATTATCTTAGAATAGAGAAAAATAAACTAAAGCATATCGTCTCACACTTCACATATGTGTATGCGTTTTTGCCTTTTCTTTTTTTTCACTATCGTTTCTTCTCGTTCTCTGTGCACGTTCGACAATATTTATTCTGTTACCATGTATATGTTTGGTCAAAAAACATTCGTCATTTATTACGTTTTTTTTACACTATAATCTTTTAATAAAATGACTGACTTATCTTGTGAACAGAGTAAAATTCATCGAAGAAAAACTACTTCGAATAATACTGATTATTTACGTGTTATTGGAGTTGGATTACCACGAACAGGTACATCTTCACTAAAGAATGCTCTCGAAATACTTGGCTTTGGTCCATGTCATCATATGACTGAATTATTGAAGAAACCTGAACAAGGTAAAATATTTGCACAAATATTGGATGGTTATGAAGCAGATTTTCATGAATTACTCAAAGGATATCAATCATCAGTTGATGTTCCAACAGCTTTATTTTACAAAGAACTTCATCAAATTTATCCAAAAGCTAAACTTATACTTACAGTACGTGATAGTAATGAACAATGGTTTGAATGTTTCAAAAATTCCATTGCACCGATATGGTTAGATAATTTATTCTTTATTAATATTTATCCTTTGCGAAATTTACGTCGATTATGTGTTGTTGCTAGAAAAATGGCTAAGAAATGGATCGATGAATATGGTGAAATAGGACCTCACATTCATGAATTACATAATGCTCGAGTGATAAAAGAAAATAAACCAGACGAGTTACTTGTATTCAATGTGAAAGAAGGATGGACTCCTCTATGTAAATTTTTAAATGTACCAATCCCACAAGATATTCCATTTCCAAATGGAAACTATCCGGAATATGTTCAAGGCAGACTTCGAATAGCCAGATTAGTAGGATGCTGTGCTTGGATCTTTATTATTGTGGTAGTTATTGTCTTAATTTATTTCTTTTCTTCATTCATTGGTTGTAAAATTTCGAGAGTTTATAATTTTTCTTCTTGATTAGTTGAGCTGTTTTACACTGTATCGAAACAAAAAAATGTCTGAAGAAGTGTTTATTCTTAAATAAAAAAATTGAATACGTACAAATTCACAAAGTACGATCAAATTTCGATACGAAATACTTAATCGTACAGTAATATAAAATTCGCTACTACCATTATTGATTGACGAATGAGATCGATATCTGATCAGGTAGTTTGGTGGTTGTAATCAACATGTATTATACTTTTAGAAAAAAGATCTTTTTCATTCACGTACAGGTATGGTAGATGTCATCCTGAAGAACTTATATATTAACTATAGAATTTTCCAGTAAAAGTGAGACATTCTCATTTGTCAATAATGACATAGGTCGTAAGCAAACAATGAATACATATTATGAAGCAGATCGATGTTGTTTAAAAACTCAAGAATGGTAATATTCTATATATTGACTATATCATATTAATAACCAATTCGATTTACTAATACTGTCAATCTATCGAATCTCTTCTTCTTCAATCATTGTTCATGGATAATATTCTTATTGGTGTCAATTATTCGGATCTTAATGAATCTTTAGAATTAAATCAAGACAATTAATTGTCACTTAAATTGAATTCTTGTAATGCACAAAGATATTGAAGAAATATTAGTGGCATCTTAAACAATAAATATTTATGCATATAGTGCTGATCAATATTGAAGGTACTCGAAGAAATAGATCGAATCTGGCGTCGGTTAGACACAAGTGACTCGCCATTCATTCACAAGATTGATATGAGTTCTTCTTGTGTAACTTTATTTGTGAATTAAAATAACAACAAGTAACTGTCAGCTAAAAACAAAGCAAGTTTCATCGGTTTTATGTTAATAATGATAATATAAACAACAGTAAAGCCGTCCAAGATTGTCAAGCGGAAAATGACAGAAAACAATCGCTTTCAAAGTCTTTTTTTGTTGATATGTGCCTCCAACTTTTTCATAGACCATCGATTCTTGATGTAGTGGAGTCGAAATAGTATTTAGAGAAATTGACGAAGTAGAAAACTTGTCGATCGGCGTTGACAAGTAAGATCGAGCATTTTCCACCAATTAAAAAAAACCTTTCTTTCTTTTATTCCCTGAGAAATGATGGATATTTTCAATTTTAAGCTAAACGAAATTTTTCTTCACAACTTTACTTTAAATCATCATTAGTACAAATCAAACTACAAAAAAACCTGACTAAAACAATATTATTCGTTCATATCAAATCAAAATATCTCTGTTTTCCTTTATCTGCTAATCTTAGACGAAATAGTAATATGGTCTGCTCGAGTAGTGACCGCTTGAACGACATGAATAAATTTAAAAAGTGGATGAAGTTGATGAATGTCATCTGTTGATGATTGTTCTTTGAATATAGTATTAATAAAGAAGCTTTCTAATTTCGGTGTACATTTTCTTAAAACATTTGCCAATGATTCTACGGTCATCTGACTTCGTTGTGCAAATGGTGTTTGAATCGACAAATATTTGAGATTTGGCATTACGATGAGTAATGATTCTAACTCTTTACAAGACCAATTATTTATACGTAGATAAAGATCAAGTCGACAAAGTCTTTGATAAGTATTCGAATAATGAAAATTAAAATATTCATCATCGAGCATAACTTTTAAACGAATCAATTCTGGACATATATCGAATAAATAAGAAAGATCTTGACAATTTTTAACATCGATTTGAATCGAACGAAGTTTACATGATAATATAGACCATTGACAATTGAATTGAATATTATTCAAAATACATGTATGTAAATAAGAAAATTCACCGGAGAATATTGAATGACATAATTCATAGAAAACATTGCCTGGTAATCTTGTGTTATTATTATTAATACGTAAATATTCAAGCTGAGGAATTATATGTGGTCGAATTTCATTTAATTGTTCTATCGTGGGATGTTCAAGTTCAAGAGAACGAATATTTGAAAAATGAATAAGATTTAATGAATTGCTATGCCATATCGATAGTTTCCTAATGCGATTAGCAAAAAACATCATAGATGGATCATGAATTTCATTAGGTTGTATACATTGAAGGGCAAGTCGCGGTTGAATTGAACTAAGAATTGAATTAATACGATGATTAAGTCTCGAAAAACTTCTATATAAGTTTTTCATTGGTATGTATTCAAATATTTCGAAAAAGATTTCATCAGGTAAATGTTCCAATGTAGTTGCCATTGGTATTATTATGTTTCGTTTTGTTTTGTACAACAAATTTTGAAGGATTTTTTAGTAGTATTTATAATTTTGATAATTGAGTGATTGGGAAAAAATTCCACACATCTTGATTTGCAATGGAAACATAGTCAGATTGCGTAAAAATTTTCAAGTAAGTGACATCATAACGAAACATACTCAGAATGGGATTTGTTTTCTTGACATCATGTTGTATTTATTTATGTGTTGGAAATAATTTGATTTCTTTTCTTTTCTTCCTGTTCTGTTGACAATGTTCACTGGCAAAGAAAGCTAACAGAAGGAATCGAACGAATGTAATATTTCAAAATGACTCACTGCTAATGACTATATGTTACTGTTAGAAGTTTACCCAATCGATTTAACATATGATTTATTGATATCTTTCCTATGTTCTCATGTATTACGTATTGGTTAGTTCTCTGAATTCGTTTCTTCGAGTAAAGGTAAGATCAAAATGAAGATAATAAATTCTCATTTTCATCAATGGGTTAATGATTAAGAGATGAGGACGAAGTGAATAACATTAATTTGATATTAACAAGTATTAAAATATTCAACATAGAATGGACATTGAGGATATATAGTTATTTAAACGATAACATCTAGCTTAACATCAAATACGATTGCATTCAATTGATATTATTAATAAAACGTACGTTAATGGAAAACATATACTAAATACTAAAATAAAGGGTGGTTATAAAGTTTCGATTCCTCCCTAGTAAATCAAGAATATCTATATCAAACTCATATGAAGATTTATTATAAAGTTATGGTTGTTTTACTAGTCTCGAGTGAAAAATTTTTACATTCTGTTTTTTGCAAAAAACAAAAATATTCTTGTAACACCTGAGCTGGAATAGTTTTCTGGAATATGAATATCAACAATTTTGCTGATCCTGTTTCTGATACAAAACTTGAAGACAAGTAGAAAGACTAGTGAAAATCTGATGTATCGTGTATTAAAGAAAGAGTGCTTAATTTCCAATACATTTAATCAAAGGATTAGTTAGTCTGTTCCTGAAGCTCGGAAAGGATATTTTCATCTACAGTACGTGACAAAACATCTCAAAACATAAAATAATAGATAGAATAGTCGATCTACCAAATATATTGAAAGTTACGTATACTCTGCAATATATGATTTGCCAGATTTTTATTAGTCTGTCTCATTGCTTTCAGGTTTTGTATTCAAAAGAGGATCAGCAAAATTGTTGATATTCATATTCTTGTAGAGCTTGACGAATTCTATTCAACCGTACAAAAAAAAATCCAGAAAACTATTCCAGCTCAAGTGTTACAAGAATATTTTTGTTTTTTTGCAAAAAACGCAATGTAAAAGTTTTTCACTCGAAATTAATAAAACTACTATAACGTTATAATAAATATATGTATTTCAAACTGTCTTTTTTTCAGATTCAAGCTCTTCTCTTTCTCTACAACACATAATATTTTCAATTAGACTAACTTGTGTACACAATATGATCAAGATATGTGCTTACAAGAACTTATAGCTTAGTGATATGATTTTCAATAGTTCTAAAATTTTGGTTTCATAAGTTAAACTAGTCGATGACATTATGTGCACAAAGTTTCAGCTCAAAATTCGAAAAGACAATTTTTGTTGAAAAATCAGGATCCAGCAAGAAATTCTCAAGTCATAATTCGATTTCTTAGCGAAATTACAACGTGGACACATATTCGCTTAGACTTATATCTTTCCTCATAAGAGTACAAAATCATACAAACTTAGTATGCATGACAAAAAAGTTGATTTTCTAAACTTATCCACCTGAATCATGCCTATTTTTGGTTGTTTGACACACAAACCTAACGTCAATAAAAATATTGTGATTCCCCAATGAGTATACTGTATTGCAGAATAAAGATTTATTCCCAATAGTTTATCGATTCGAATATGAAAAATGTTTAAAACATTTATATATCGTATACAATGATATAAAACAGTGATTGTATGTTATTCTACACAAAAATCGCTTGGTTATATAGAAAAATTGAAAATCTTAGAAGAGTTCATTTCTGCTAGATTAGTTATCGGGTGGAAGAAGGTATGATGTAACTTGTTCAATGCGTTTCTCGACATGAGCAACATCCTCTGGATCTGCATTGGATAATTCAGTCTGATAGATTTCAGCCACTTTGATATACTTTTGTAAAGTTTGAGGGTGTGGGTGTAGATAGAGAAAAGAAACACCCACACCCACACCCTCATACGTCGGTATGTCAACAATAGATTAATTCCAATAAAGTATCAGTATAGCATATCTCATACTTGTTGACAATTTCATGTATTTCTTTATTAATAAATTGATTCTCAAATGAAAACTTATGGCTTAAATATGCTAGTCCAGTAAAAGAGAACGATTATTTCTTTGCGGATATTGTAGATGTAGAAGGTAAAGTTATAATGGACAAAGGGATAATAACTACAACATCGCAATATACAGGACAACTTCTTCGACGAACATCTTTGAAAATAAAGGATGAAACAGCTGCGATTAACATAACGATATGGAATGAAAAAGTAAACGAACTTTGATAACCCAATAAATATATCGATTCATTCTCATTTGTACATCTTCTACTACTTAGATTGACGAAATGCCACAACAAATAATAAATAAAAAAATCCGTATTCGCAATGGAAAAATAAATCATTATAATGATAATAAACCAATTTTTTAATATTCGAATAAAACGTAATGAGGGTCTTTTTTTATAGATGTTGTATCCATCAACATATCAGAACAAACAATTATTCAATTTCATTAAATAAAATCAAAAATTTCAATACAACCAAATATTTTCTTTTTTCTTTAACTCATCGAACACGTTATTTTCTTTCCTTCTCTTAACAAAAACGTCAATAAAATAAAATTTCTCATATAAAACCACATATTGTAGACTAACCTATCATAGACGTGGAATAACACCAGTATCTCCATCCAAAAGATAGAAACTAATTTCAATCTGAACAACAATCACCATATATTACTTATAATTTTTAATTTCTCTAAGCTCAATCAAATTATTAGAATACACTCACGAACTCTACAACTTCCAAAACTTAACTAAATATCATTGGAATGCACTCACGCTCTCTATCGACGCATAAATTCAAATCGAAAATTTAAAATACTTATTTACTTTCACATTTTAAAATTTTATTTTGTATTAAGGGCCCCCTCCGCCCTCAAAAAAGTTAGTTTTCGTCAGAATGGTCAAGATTGAGATAAATACATGGGGAGATAGCCTGTCATTTGCTCTTTCATAAACGATAAAAACTTTTCTTCGATACCTCCTTTTTTTCCGAAAAACTTTCAATATTTTTGACGACCTCTATTCGAAAAATCGCTGGTTTTTCGAAAAACCCAAAAATCATTTTCGTTTTTTCTCAAAATGGTGGTCGAATTACGTATCCTCACCAAAAGTCAATTATAATCCGATATAAAGTCAAATCTTTTTTTTTTGTTTGATAGAGCATCAAAAACTGCAGTGCCTATGAGGGCCCTTTTTTTGATAAAGCTTTCCTATTATTATATTGAAAACCGATTTTATAATATAAGCATCATTTTTTTGAGAGATTTTTGAGTGAATGAATTTGTGAACTCTTTTTTTCTTATTAAAGATAAGAATAAAAAAAAGGGCCCTCATAGGCACTGCATCCTGACATGCTCTTTCAAATGAAAAAACAATGAACCGTATTGAATGAATACCCATCGAGATTTTGTGCGTATGCGATAAGCTATTTTTCGACTCTTGTTTGGTTCGTAGGTACCTTATACATCAGGATAGGAGGCTGAAAATTTTATCATAGACGTACTTTTATACCCCCAATATATCCTCAAAGTTTCATGGCATCTCGATGTTCCTAAGCTGAGATCGAATTTTGAGGGGGGGGGGGGGGTTAAGTGTAAATAAAACATGAAATAATCATATTTAACATCTATGTCGTTATCTATTTTATTTTTATTTTCTTTATATTTGATATTTGTGATATTTCATTTGTTTCGTTTTTCTATTTTTTACCGAAAAAATCAAAATAGAAAAAAATCTAAATGAGATAATCGCATATGATGTGGGTATGGGTATGAATGCAGAGAGCACTTACACCCACACTGCACACTCGTACTCACAAGATCAGAAATATGATCTTGTAAACTCCTATCATCTGGTTGTTTGATCTGAGGATCCATAGTGTTGGAATCTGCTCGGATTCAATCGAATCATGGTGTTAGAGTCTAGTAATAATCGGATAGATACTAATTAAGTGTATAATATTGAAAAGAAAATGTTTTTTAGTTTTCAAAAAACAAAGCAGACTCATTCAAATTAGATCTGTTTAGGAACTTTTCAAAAAATATTTTCTACCGTATATAAAAATAAAATTTAAAAAAAAATTATAATTTCATTCAAACAATCAAAGTTTAGCTTAAAATCTAAATTAATTCTAGTCTTAATTTTATTATTCAAAAACTAAGATAAAACTATAAAAATAGCTATTAATCAGATAAATGCTGATTTTGATTGATATATAATCGAAACTAATTAATATATTAGAAGATTTTATTTAACAAAAATATTTAACAAAGATAAACAAGAGCAACAAAAAAAAAACAAATTATTCAACAATATTTTATTTTTAATATACTATAGAAGAAATTATATCCAAAGACGAAATCTTGTTAATTTAACATCCACTTTGCTACGAGGAAAACATTTTTTAACCATAGAACGATACGGTTCGATTTTTTCAGGATCAATTCTTCCATGAATATCAAGAAAAACAAATTGTTTTAATTTTCGAGTTAATCGGCGAAGATCTTTCTTAAAAACATTTACATGTTTAGCTAAAATTAAAAGAAAAAGATTTTGTTTTTGTTCTCCATCCACTATTTTTATTTACGTACCAATCGATTCAGATGTTTCTAAAGACTCTATCCATCGTGAAACATCAATATGATGAAAGTATCCTGGTGCAATATCTGGTCGAACTAAAAATAAAAAGAATATCAATATGAATTTATATTATGAATAACTTTTTGAATTAGAAATAGTTTTATTTTATTAATCAAGAAGATAATTATCTTCTTTATTTTGAGTTCTTATTTTCATTTATAACAAAATAATAATATTTTATCTCTTTTTCAAGTTAATATAATATCCAACTCTTATTATTTAAAAACACAACATTGTACATGATGATAAACATTTTTCAATATTTATTTACAATAAAAGTTTGAAAAGAGGAAAACAGCAGAAGAAGATATTTAGCAAAGAATATCATATAGATGTTGATGAATGACAAGGGAAAATCAAAACTATAGTATCTCAAATACAGTAAAGGAAGACAAAAAAATTCGAAAATCAAATGATAGAATTAATAAAAAAATCGTCATCATTTATTCAAAGGATATTTTTTGACGAAAAGAAAAACAAATTAAATTGACTATTGTTTTTTTCTTTATTGAAAATCTATTCAAACGATATTTTCGTTTAATTTGATGAAAAACTAATTATTATTTTTTTTTACACAGATAGAGATGTGTTAGACTAACAAGGAAAATGTCTCAAATGAATCAGACGCGTTTTCAGTGTTATTTTGTTTATTTGGTGTTAGAAACAATATTCTAGGAAAATACCTAAAAGTTTCGACTGATAGGTTTTTTCTGAAGACTAAGACAATTTTACTGATTTTTCTAGCTAGTATTATATATTTAAAGCAAAAATCAAACACGAGAATTTCAACCTAGAATCTATATATATATATATATATATATATATATATATTGTTCAGTGTCTATCTGCGTGTTTCTCTGTGTCGGGTCAAAGGGTAAAGGTCAAATAAGGCTATAAGGGAAAGGTGCCCATAGGTCCTCATGGGCTATTATACGAAGATGCCCATAGGTCCTCAAGGGCTACTATATGGGGGTATCTATAGCTCCTTAACTCTTTCAGTCCCAAATTATTTCTGCTGGTTCCAATTGAAGTAGACTGTTAGATTGGCTCGTTTTACACACAAACACATGAACGACTATATATCTCCTTTACAGATAGTTGGAGCGGATTCTAGAACACTCTTTATTACTTCTTTCCAAGAGAGTACATACTAATTTATATAAATTATGTTATGTAAAATAATTATAAAACACGTGTAGCTTTTTTGATACTATGGGATCCAAAGGGTTAAGGGGATCCCCTTTCCGGACCCAAAATTCTCAAATTTTTCATATTTTGTTTTTTCTGCTCTACATGTGCTTTCAAGTGCCCTCTATCTACTGGTGACGTTTTGAGAACTCAAATATAGCTCTAAAGCAACAAATAAAATCGAAAAGATAAATTGATTGCCGTAGGGATATAGCACGATTTTTTTTCTTTCGCGGTTTTCTAGAAATCCAATTTTCAGCAAAAACCTACAGAATCGTTCCCGTTTCGCAAGCACAGTAAATCCGATCGGGCTGAAATTTTTTCTACAGATAGTAGAGACACTCTAGAGGGACTACTTTTCTTTTTTTGTTTTGAAAAATATTGTACCGCTGAGTTTGGGCAGGCCTTACAAGACAAGCACTATTTAAAAAAACATGCATTTTTTAGGGTGCTTTACTATCTGTAGAAAAAAAATTTCAGCTCGATCGGATTTACTGTGCCTGAGAAACGGGGACGATTTGGGGGTCGATTTTTAGCCATTGTGACCTCAATATCTCCTAGAAAAAAGCATTTAGGAATTTTGAGTCTATGACAACTTTTACTCTACACATCGAGATCTATCATCTGTGAAAGTTTCAAATTTTTCTGATGAGCTGTTCTCGATAAACTTCAGAGAGGGGGGTCCGCTTAAGGACTATCCTATAGGGTACTCATAGGCCCTCAAGGAAGTATGGGAGTAAGGGGGTAGGTAATAAGGAGATAAGGCTACAAGAGCTACAAGGAATATAAGGCTACAAGGCCGAAGGCTACCTGGACTATAAAAATATGTGCTATATAAGAGTATGAGGCCGTAGGGCTATCTATCTATATACATAATATCGGGTGTCTGTATGTCTGTTACCGGATGAAAAGTTAAACGTCTAGGCCATACGTTAAAGGAGGAAATAGCCGTGCAGTATGCACGGGTTCTTGCTAGTATTATCCATATATTACGGGTGTTCTAAAAGTCACTTTACACTTTGTACTGTACACATTGCACACATTTGAAGATTATTTACAATTTTTAAATCATAAATCATTGTTTACTATCTGTAAGGTGTTCCCGAGCATACCTTTGAACAATAAATCATGATTTACAAATAATGGATAAGGAAAAATAATTTTCAAATATATCAAAATGTGTATAGTGTCAAGTGTAAAGTGACTTTTACGTCACCCTGTATATAGTGCTTATGGCCACTAGAATACTCTAAAAATTTCAGTATGAAAGACATTTTTTTTCCTCAAAGTATTTGTTTGTCAAAAAATTATCTCATTATATTAATAATTCAACATCATGAAAAGGAAACATTGTATTTTCACTGAAACATTTTTAGAACATCCTACTGTCTACGAAGATTATATATGAGCAAAATACTAGTTTGGAATTCTCTTGTTTTATTGTTGCCATAAATACATTATTCTAACTTTCAAAAAATTTAGTAAAACAGCCATAATCTTCAAAGGAAGATCTATCAATTCAAATCCTCTTAGGAATTTTCTCAGAATACACTGTCTTGAACATATGAACAAAATATCATTGAAAATGGCATCAATTATTTAGAAATCTTCTTTCGTAATCGATAAAACTTTACTTGAGATCATACCTAAGATTATGTCTCGATATTTTGTTTGTTTTTTCAAGTGAATTATATCATAATCATTGCGACTGATCACAATAAAATTGAAAAGAGAAGAGTTAAAAATGTACTATATGTTGAGTAAATAAATCATATCATTGTTAAAGACAAACTCTATCTTTGAAAGATTACAGAAGAACTATTAACGAACTCTTAAAAATTGTTAACATTCATTTCACTTTTTTCTTTCTAAATTTCTTCATGTTACTTATTTGTGTTGGGCAGTTGATGTATTTAATAACCTTCGATCTTAGTTAATAAGAATAACGAGGAAATAAAAATGTCCTAGTTATTAAACTTTGATCTCAATTAGTAGCAATAAGATGGACCGAAAAAACTTCGATTTAAATATTCCAAAAAAAGATGACAACTTCTGGTTCGATTATCAAGTCTGCTTGATGTTACAGAAATATGAATTTATATCATTGAAATCTTAATTCAGATTTGAGAAAAGTCTAAGCTATAAAACTAATGAAAATTTCTTGTCATTAAATTTTTATCTAGAATAAACTTACTAGATGTCCAAGGAAAATCATCTGGTCGCCAAAGATACAATGTTTGTAATTGAGGCATATAAGTACTGAGAAAAGGTACAAGATTTTTACCAATATAAATTGAATCATTCGAACCATAATGACAACTAGGAATACCAAATTCAGCACATTGAATAGTATTCAATGCATTTCTTTTTAGTTCATTTGATGCCTAAAGATAAAAGAAAAAAAATATTATATATACATAATATATATAAATAGAAATATTTCAGAATTAATTCATTTAATCAATTATATATATAATTTTGTAATTCGTTCTTCGAACTTTCAGATTACATATTTATGGTATAGAAGCAAATCTTAGCATTTCGAACAAAAGTGTGTCTAAACTCGTCAAAAAAAAAAGCTTTATTTTCTTATCAAAGGATTCCTTGTGAAATTCTGCACCTAGAAAACAAGGAACCGATTGAAATTGACGATGGTCCAACAATGACTCTTATACACCTACGTTCTTTCGCTTTAAGATTTAAAGAATCTAATTATCAAAATGAAATCTATTAGACATAATTTCTAAAATTATCTAGATGAGCATTTTTTCTAATATCAAATCAGCTATTAAAAGATAAAATATTTTTTTTTAAAATTCAAAGTAAGATTACAAATATAATAAATACTTACATATTGAATAACGTGAAAAAGCCACTCAATATTTTCAACAAGAAGATATTTGAGTTGAACAGACATTGAAATAAGATGAGCAAATACTTTTGCACGTGCTTTATTTAATTCTATTGATGTATCACAACTGTCTAGAAAACAATTTTACGTTGGTCAATGTTAATCTTTATAGGATTAAAATGTGAAACATTGTAAATGATGAAGAAATTTATCAACATATGTTTTGTTTGATGAATTACTATCTACTGTTATTTAATTGTTGGTAATGAAAGATGTTAATTTTAGTATATAACAGTTAATATGAAAGAAAGACAAAAGGCATGTATCTGAAATATTGTCATGTTTCATAATAATTCCGCAGTAGACTAGTTTAGTGTCTATCATGACCTGTTGTGAAAGGGAGATGAATGGATTAAAATTTCTACTTGTTTACTTCAATACTCATTTTAGATTGTGTTTCATAAAAAAGAATATAAGTGATATTTTATAGAACAGAGAATTATGTTTTTCTTTTTGTTTGATTCTTGCAAAGAGTTCATATTTAGATATTTTACTAAAGATGAATTATATATTATTGATAACGAGAAGTGCAAAAATTTTTTTTTATGTCAGAAATATCTCTTCGTATTCTTCTGTTAAAATATGTTTCATGAAAATGAAAAATAATCATTGAAAATCTATATTTAAAGAGTTTTCTAACATTATGTTCAGAAAATTCCCATTGCATTTGACCTTCATCTGAAACCTAAATAAAACTTAAATTCTCCTTATTTGATTATTCAGTTAATAGATATCATTTTTTTTTCTATTTTCTCTCTTGAGTTTTGTTTTGATTAGTATGCTTATCAAAGAATTCGTATAGAAACAACAAAGAATCAAACGGTAATCTTTAATTTTTTTGTAGTTTTCTTTTTATCATGATTTCATGAGCTACTTTAGATTATTTTGGCTCAACAAATATTTGAGACGATTTTAAGTCATCCATTCGAAGTATAATTTTCGAGATGTTTCCAATAAAATAATATTTTATTCAGATATTTGATGGCAAATTCCAGTTCTTTGTTATTATATCTTGTACTGATGATCATCGCTTGTAGAAATATCTACTGCTTCTGAATCGTTGATAACAAAAAGCATGTGTCTAATAAGCAACTTAGTGATTCTATATCGATTGAAAATCGAAAGGTATTATGTTCTCATTTGAGAGAAACAAATTTTATCATACTTTTAAGTTTCGTTTACTGCTTGAAGGTTGAAAATGCAGTAAGGAAGAAAGATCTTTAAATATGAATTCTGAATCCTCATCTTTTACAGAATAGTAGTCTAATAAAGTTCTTTTTTATATAAAAAGTCATAAGTTTAGAGCTAGGATTATATTATATTACAAGCATAGCAGTGCTCAAGAATAATAAATTAGAAATTACAAAAGAACTTTGATAAGAGCCATGATAGTTGACCGAACACAGTTAATAATTGATTGTCGAATCCTTCGGAGTTTCATACTGTCAGGTAACCATAGTAGTGTATTCTGTAGAGTAATCTTCCTAATAAATGTTCATCAATCGTAGCACTGGCTGGTATTGATATAATACATTGGCACATAAGTTCTGAGCGTTTTGATCAGTAGAATAATATCGCCAATATAAAACTACATTTTAAGAAAAGTAATTATATATTCTGATAGCGCTTCGAATTCTCTATCATCTTGTGTATTTAAGTCTTGACTTAGATTTATTTGCTACAAAAATATTTTGAATACAGTGAAGACACCCTCACCCTCAGATTTCCACGAACTCCATTTTTGTTCTTTTCTCATGTGTTTGTAAAATTTTTATCTGTACAGTAATCTATTTTTTTAGAAAAGTAATTATATATTCTGAGAGCTCTTGAAATGCTCTATCGTTCTGTGTATTTAGGTGTTGACCTGAATTTATTTGCTGAGAAATATTTCGAACATTGTCAATGCGGGTGAGGATGTCTGCACCGTATTCAAAATATTTTTCAGCAATTAAAGGTAAGTCAAGACTTAAATACACAAGATGATAGAGAATTTCAAGCGTTATCAGAATATATAATTATTTTCCTTAAAATGTAGTTTTATATTGGCGATATTATTCTACTGATCGAAACACTCAGAACTTATGTGCCAATGTAATAGATACAAAAAATCGTGGTTAATACAATATTTTAGCTTTGGAAAACATCTACCTTCGAGAAATGTAAGAAGTTTCCTTTAAGCATGTGTTAATATATTTTTTTCTGAGCATCTTCATATGAGCAGAGGCTTAGGCATAATTCAGAAATGAAATGAGAGACGTATTAATCGTTTAAGTAGATATATAAAGAAAATCATTGAATATAAAGTGAGAAAATCTTAATTTCATACGATATATAACTTCGAGATGATGAATATTGTATTTAGAGTTCGTCGATTCTAAAAAATGGAACAGAGAACCGAATCGGAAATGACTTTTTAAGATTTCTCGAAGTCGAAACCGAGACTGGAACCATGAAAAAAAACCATTTTGGAATCGCTAAAGCAAATATAACCGTTAAATCATCAGATGGGCATAAAAACTTTTAAAACAATTCTGAGAAATTTTGACTTTTTTTTGTATTCTTCAGATTAATATTGTTTTGTTTATGTAATAAAATGTGTGACGTCTTTAGTTTCAAGAATTGAGTGTCGTTGTGTGGATGTGAATATCCTCTTCTCTCACATCCACACCAAAGATTTACTCATGTTTCGCTTAGATTTTAGAAATCATTATTGTGAAAATGAACTTCCATCGCAACAGAGTGGATTCATATTTTGTAAGAAAAGTGAAGTTATCTATTTTTCATTCTTCTAAAATGTGTTTTTTTTTCTCAGAAGAATAACGAAGAGACATTCGAATGTCAACTTTTGCATCAGTACTTATATTTTAAAAACGGAAAATAGTTTATTACAATTCATATATAAAGTTTTGATAAGTAGTGCATATCGAACGAATATATTTCAGATATTTTATATGTATGCATTCAATTATATTGATCAAAGTAAAAGAAATATTTTGATTGGGCTCCTACTTAAATGTAAAAAAGAAACCAATACTTACTAATCATACCAGGTAAACAAAATCCCAAATCAAGTCTTGTCACATTTCGAAATTGAATATCAGTCACTCTACATTGTCCTTTTTCGAATGGTATTGTTAATGACTCTGGCAACTCGAACTGACCAATATTTCTATAATATTCTATACAAAAAGAAAACTTAATATATTTTCTAGAAATATAAATACAATCTGTTCCTTAAATCTATTGTCGAATTTCGTTAAACATAAAATAGTTATATACAGTGCTAGTCAAATATATATAAGAACAAGACATTTTTTCATCGTTTTCTTCATATATTTCTTTAGTTTTTCCTATTGATTATAGTTTGTGTGTATACAAGTGTGTATTCAGTTGCGCTCTAGTTGAAACTGAAATTAGGTTTCCTCATTTCTATGTCAGGTCTAAGAAAATGCATTTTTATAAAAAGTTTTATTTTGAAAATACAGCTACAAACATATCAATGTAGCTCAGCTTTTTGGCTATAAAAACGAAAATAGACATGGGATTATTTTTTCAACAGTTTCACATAATAGAGGATACGTTTTGCCATAAAATAAAAGATCTCACGTACCTGGGAATCCTTCTATTAGAAAGAAAAACGTCAATTTGAAAACAAATAACAGTTCTAGTACTAAATTAAGCTGATAATTGCTTATATTTCAGGTTTAAAGTTTAGAAATAGCGTTCTCTCTCTAACACAATGATTCTCATGTACGAGAGATCGTCCGTTTTGTGGCAAAACGTGTCCTCTATTCTGTGAAACTGTTGAAAAAATAATCCCATGTCTATTTTCGTTCTTACAGCCAAAAAACTGAGCTATATTGATATGTTGTTAGCTGTATTTTCAAAATGAAACTTTTTATAAAAATGCATTTTCTTAGGTCTAACATGGAAATGAGGGGCCATCCAGATAAACGGAGGAGGGAGAGTCGAGCGATCCTGCACGTCCAGAAATCCACTGGAAAAATTTTCCTTTTTCTTAAAACCTTTTTGAGAAGTTTTTAAACTTAATTTATGGTAAAGAGCATTCTTTTAAATCAATTAATAGAATATAAATATGACATTGAAATAATTGAAAATTACAATCTATCGACAGCAAGTTTCATACGAACTTTGTTTTATTTTCTAGTGCCATTAGTATTGAAACTGTCTCTTTTTTTATATTTCTACTATTTTCTGTTCATAAAAATCAAATTTATTTAGATACCAAAAAAGTTTTTAACAGATTATATTTCATGTAATGCTTATTCATACATTTCTAGTTTTGACACAGTTATTTAAGAAAGAGGTAGCTGCTCAAGAATAATCTTGAAATTCGACGAATCCTGATTTGGCCTGATTCAGTTTCAGATTTAAGATTGAACTAGAAGCTCGATATCAACTTCTCAGAATAGTTTATTATAAAATCCGAACAAGTCTCTAGATCTATGTCAGATTGACTTTCCTTTTAGTGAATTATCACAAGATAAATATACTTCAACAAAAGCAGTGATCAATTGACAAACTGAGCGCGAGTTTCATTAGTGATAAGTAACATCCCAGAGCATCTGTTCTTTTCCATAAAGCGGCTTCTCGATTCTCAGGTCTTCCTTTGATTATTCAACTATTGTTGGTTGTATCGATTGAATGCCTTTATCATTTTATAATTTATCACGAAGAATCCGAATTGGAGAGATTTGTCTGAAAACTCATTCAGGTTTCGTAATAAACGGTTTCCTCGATCTGCAATTGAAGAAGTGCTGTATCGAGTCGAGATTTTCCTAGATCTATGTAAGATTGGTATCAGCCTTAGATCGATCGACAAAGTATATCTCAACAAACAGGCTTCTGAAATTTTTTTGGTACCGGACGTCCGGAAGGAGGGTCCAAAAGTTCGATTTTTGCCTGAACGTCCTTTATGGATGGCCCCTGAGGAAATCTGATTTCAGTTTCGACTAGAGCGCAACTGAATACATACTTGTATACACACAAACTAGTCGCCATGGTTGAGTGGTTACGTTGTTCGACACGTATCCACAAGGTACTGTGTTCAAGTCTCAGTAGCACCATCCATGGAATGACCCTGAACAAGTCACTAACGACTAGTTGTTTCGAATGACTCATTCGATAGCATGTTGATTACGTCACTGGTCAACAGGAGATATTATTGCATTATTATACACAGAAGCTATTATCAATAGGAAAAACTAAAGAATTATATGAAGGAAACGCTAAAAAATGCTTTTTATTCTTTTCTTTTACTTAAAAGCTATACATATAGCTTCTATTCTATGCTTAACAAAACTTTGTCTCGCATAAAAGACTTGTGAATTTAATAAGATTTTATGTAGAAATTTTCAAATAAAACAATTAACACTTATGTGAGTTACATTCATCTGGCTAACAAATAAATATTACAAATAGTAAGAGTTTGTATTGTCAAAAGTAGATCTTAGTTATTTTATAATATAGTTATTACATTAACTTTTCTATTGAGACATGGCATAGTGCTGCAAGATTTAAAATGTTCCTGTAATAATCCAATTAGATTTTAGATAAAACAATTTGAGTTAAGGTAGCTTTCCCTCTCTCTCTCTCTCTCTCAAGAACCAATTTTGTGCCAGATACATTCAAATCTCCTGAAATTTGGAGAATATATTGGAATTGCAGTAAAAAGGCTATAGTAAAATTTTTACCTCTATACCATGACGTTTGACAAAGAGACTTTGACTAAACAAGGATTATCAAAAAGAGTTCATTCAGTAATTCTAAATTTTTCTGTCTAGATCCATTCAATAGATTATTGCGCGATCAACAAAGCATAAACCGAGAAAAAACGAAAAACAATAGTATAGTTTTTCAGCAGAAGTTGACGGAGATTTTCAAACATTTTGGCAAAAAATAATGAGATATATCTAATAAGAAAAACCTGTTGTTTGTGGAGTGTTAGAATCTCCAAACAACAATACATCCGAATTTGTGTGAAGTAGAAATTTTTAATCTAATCATTTGAAATATTTATATAAATAGATGACAATGAATTAAGTCACAAGAATTTATACAAATTTTCAAACAGATTATATTTTTTACATTTAGTTCTTCTCAGGTACTTTCTTTCTTATTATATAAATCGACACGATGGAATAAGAATACTAACCTGCATAAACTTTAATATAAGAAACATTAGGAAATAATTTATCAAATTGTTCAAGAAATAAATACAAAAACGGATGCAAATCAATCGAAATACTTGTAATATATGGCCATGTAAAAATATTTGGATCAAAGCTAAAATAATAAAAAAGTCATCTATATTTGAAAAACCTCTATATATTCTTATAGAAAAGTTTATATTACACTAAGCCATTCATAAAGTGAAGTTTATTAACATTTGAAGAAGAAAGATGTTGATATGACTTGAATGGATCAAAGAAACAATTTACATTTATCCACTGATGATCAATAAAAAATGGATGAATTTTAAATGAATTTATTATTTTTTCGATATTATTGGGTAATAATTGACATTCGGAAACAATATAAAATTGAAAATGTTTTATATTGATTAATATATCAGACAAACAATACTGATGAATAAAATTTGCATCTACAACATATTCTTTAACCATTTTATCTGAATACATTTTATGAATCTGAAGATGAAGTTTAAATTTTTCAATATGATTTAAATTATTGAGAATCCATTTCAAATAAGCAAATTCAAAGTCATTACGAACGAAAACTTTTAAAGTAAAATAGTTCAGTTTTGGTACCTAGAATCAATACAAAAACAAAAAAGAAAACATAAGAAAGAATAAAATTTACTTCTGAATAAATTAATTTTAATAAAACAAAATACTATTGATTGTCGAAATTAGATTTCTTTTACTTTTCTTCCTATTTTCTATAAGGAAGAAAGTTTAAGTCGGATAAAGTAGCATCATTTCAACATCTACGGGTGCTGAAGATACTGAGATGCTCACACACATATAAAATTAGTCTGGAAATTAAAGGGATAGTTATGGATGAAAACTATACTATTTCAATTCGATTTTTTCAATCAAAAAAAGGCCATTTTTCGAAAATATTGTTCTATACTAGGGCAAAAAAAGCTGACTGCAATCAAAACAATCATTGACAATAAGAAGTAGATCAGTTTTAACTTGTTTCTCCGCTAATGTATGGACAAAACTTAGTGTTGTTCGAGTCATATAAAAGAGAACCCTGGCAAATTTCCAGTTTGATCCGAACAAGACTATGTTTTGTCCGTACAATAAGGAAGAAACAGGTTTCTTGCATCTGACTGGTCGAGAGAAAAAGCTCTCAACCAATCAGTTTTCAGTAGGATTTTATCCACTATTATAAGGATAAAATATACTCATGTTCAGACCAATCTTGGCGTGGATGTTGTGGGTGTCTGCGGTTATTGATTCAAATAGACCCACACCCACATCCTACAATTTTTCAAAGTCTCAAATAAAAATGATTTTCTTGTCATTGTCAAGAATAAATAGGATTGTCAGATTTCTGCAAATCCAAGAAACTTTTTGGTTTTCGTACCTTTTTCTGATTTTATTTTGATGGTCTGATTTTTCCGATTTATGAAATATAGTTCACATTTCTTTGGTTCACTTTTTCTCTCAATATATTTGTTAAACTATCGATATTCTACATTACCACAATGTCAAACACGTAATATCTTAGATAATTCTAGTTTTTTTGCAATGACTTCGTGGAATATATTTTCCGAGGGATATTTTGACTAGGAAGAGTTATATTAAATGTTATTTCAGAAGATTTATCGAAATTTCGATACTTTGGCCGTTGTTCTACTGGACACGTAGTTCTGGGACATTTTACCAGCAAATGAACGAAACAATTTTTTTTATAAAAATGAGTAGAAAGAGTTTTAAAAGAGGCTTCTAATATACTTCGTACGATAATTCTCAAGTAACTCTTTCATATCTATGAATAGAGTGACAAAACTACATTAAAAAATATTGATAATGATGACGAGCTGCTGTCATTTATATGTCAAAAAAACATATCCTATATGTTGAAAAGCACACTTTCGAGAGTTGCTAAAGAACTTCGCTTTCAGAACTACTCATCATCTATCACTGTCGAAAAAGCATATTGGATAATGTGTCTAATTGTAAAACAAGCTGTAAGTATTATAAGATAATATATTCGAAATGAAATTACTTTTGGCTAGTATTTATTTGAGCAATAAAAATACTGAAATGGACAATAATTAAAATATGATTTAGCAATAATTTTTGAGCAATAAAAAAAATTTATGTGAGTAATTTGATATTATTAAATGTACAATAATTAATTCATTAAGTATCAGTAACAATTTCATATTTTAGCAATAAAACAAAGAAAAACTACATTATTTTATATGAATTAGAGAAATAAAAAAATTATTTACAATTGAAAAAAAAAGGAAAATCAAAAAAAAACCAGTATATTATTGTGTGAATAAAGCTTTTTTTGCTTTTGATAGTTTGCCTGTTTTTCTTTTTATATTTTATTTTGCAAAATAGAAAAAATACGTATTTATACATATAAATAAATTCATATTGCCCTTTGTTAACGGGTGATTGATCTAACAGATTAATACTAAACTACTATTTTATTGCAGAAATGCTATATATATATATATATATGACTGAACTAGGAAAAAAATCAAATACCCTAGAAAGAAAACATGACCAAAAAGGGAATATACTTGAATAACATCAAGAGAAGAGAAATATTCAAGTGAGGAAAAGGAAAGAAAACAAAAGATATATAAGCGAGTCACACTATAATATTCTTTTTTATATAAAGGATCTACCTTATATAAAATTTACCTTTAATTTAAATAAATTATTGCTCATTCAATATAATTATTGCTAAATTTCATTACTGCTCATTAAATTTTTTTATTGCTAAGTTTCATTATTGTTCATTTAAATTATTTTATTGCTCAATTAAATATAAGTCATTACTTTTTAGTTTTGTCATACTGACTTAACTCTTCATGTACGTATATTGTTATTATCGATTTTAGTTATGAGATATCTTTTCGATAGCATGTGGATTAGTCAAAACAGAAATACAATAAAAATCGTTTTCTAACTTTTCCCCAATTTTGACAAGTACAATTTCTGATTTTTGACTTTTCGATCTAGCAATCATTCTAGGAATAAATGTTTGAATTATTTAAGAATATGATAATAATTCGAATGCAGTGTGACGATACATTTAATACATTCGTATTCAAAAGTAGTTTAAATAAACAACTAAGACAGAAGAACGATCTAGAATATATTTGAAGAGCCAAGAATGAAGGTGAGCATACATCAACGAAAACTATATGGATGAAATACATCTGATGTATGACAACAAAATTTATAATCTTTAAAGCTACAGATCCTTCCTTCTCCTATACCATCTGTATCCTCTCTTCCTTTTGTTTTTTGCTCATATAAAATCTTTCCAAGTATTTGTCTTTGTTGCTTTTAGCGAGCACTAATGTGATATTCTCTTTCTTGAGTCATGCATGTATATGCGAAAATACGTTTCTGCTTTACAGATTTAGAAGTGATGTCCATGATTTTATTATTCTAGATTTTCAACTGAATTATAATTTCTCTTTCAGCATGAAATGATAGTGCACTATTTTTGCAATAAAGAATGTGAGAACAATTTTCACTCAGCAAGAAAAGAAATGAAGAACAAAACTGGTTAACGATAAACGTTTTCAATTAAATTAAAATAGTATTGCACGAGATATGCATATGTATTTACGAGTGGATTCGAACCATATAGTATATTTATGACTTATTCTACAGGAATTAGTTGAAGGATTTACGCTTGAAAAAATATTAATAATTGAATAGTAAATATAATAGATGTATTATTATTATAAAAATCATCTTGAAATTTGTTGTTATTAAAACATTTTCAACAAACAAGAAAAGTTATGGATAAAGTATTTGTCTTACCTTTTCAAACCAATTTCCATTTGATTTTATTAATGTTTCAATATCTGACCTCGGTCGAGATTCGAGATTCATCCAATTTTTAAAAATGACTGATAATCGTTCAATATTTGGTATATGTTCAATAAGATGTTCAAGAAAAGACGTATATTGAAGACGAACGTATAAATAACGAAGTGTCAAACAACAATATTGAATTTTATTAGAAATTGAACTTGAAGAAGGATGAGAACACAATGTAAAACATTGATGAATATTAAGAGGATTATTATCATCAGCAATATCAAGTTGAAGAGATATCAATTGACATTTATCAGAGAAAAGTTGACATATCAGCTTTTTAAACATAATTATTGATTTTCCTAATTTATATCACAAAAAAAAAATGATAGGAAATAAAATTCTATTATAAATATAATAATATTAATAAATTATGTTCAATGTTCAAATAAATCATATTTATTATATAAAAAATTTTTAGAGAAAATATATATTTTATCTCAAATAATTTGTTTTTATTCAATCACCTCAATATCATTTAAGATATTATCAGTTTTGCGTCATGAGAAAATCTTTTCAGATACACCTTTCCGATTTCACTCACTTTTCTAGTTATAAATACTATACATAGGATGCCAATAAATAGATCGTTATAGAAATTTTACAGAAGTATCGAGTTTTAAATATCTCTGAAGGATCGCAGACTTCCGAAATCATCGTATTTGCAATTTTATCTCGAAATTATTTCTATTAAAATCTTTCATATACATTAGTTTGAACAGAGTTTCAAAATTTTAGATTTTATATTGGCAACAGCGTTTCCAAAACAGACAAATTAAAAATCCGATATCTTGAGCGAATTTCAATAGAAACTCAAAAGCATTTAGAGTTTTTACTGGAATACTATTTAGTATCAATGGGCAACAAAATCATTGAAATTTGGAAAGATTCTTTCGTTACCATTTATCAGTTGTTAAAAATAGATATAATGATAGGAACTGATAAAACATGTGATGTTATTAATTAAAATTTGATAGATGTTATATACGTATGTACATAACTTTGTTGAAGTTTTTCTATGAATAATTCACTCAAAATTGTATAAAAACTATCTCACTTTGTTGAACTACGATAGTTGAGTTCTATTTTTATCTAGTACACTAACAAATCATATCAAAAAATTGTTTTTTTTTTCGTTGTCCACATAGATGTTCGATATCGATGTGGATAACATTGTTGAGCTGGTTTTCCAACAATAATTCGTTGAAAATTGAACAAAAATCATTTGAATTTAGGAATGGATCAAATTCTACATGGGTTGAAGAAGAATAAAGTTGATTGTACTTATGAAACAAATTTTAGTCCCAGATATACATTCTTCTTCTCTATATGAGATAAAAATATCCGCAAGTCGAAAAGTACAAATTGTCTTTACTCTACTCAGTTCACTGTAGGCTAAAAGTTTCAAAACAAGAATTTTTTCTACTATAAATTTAATTAAGAATTTTCAAATAACTAAAATCTATCGAAAGACAGTTTTTCGAATTGGTATATGTTGAAAATACTTCAACAAAGATATTTTATTCTTCAAAATTATTTAATCTCATGTTATGTTAGATAATTTAAATAAAAAATTATTACTTGTATGAGGAACATTTCTACATATTTCGTTTGAATTTACAAACAACTTCACTATATCTTCATCGAATGTTAATGTAAATTGTTCCAATTGATATTGAATAAGTAAAGATAATGTTTGAATTAATGATCGTGATAATAAACATCGAGTAATCTTAAGTGATTTGAGATTAGGAAAACAAAGAATTTGTTTATCATTATTGTAATAAAGACATTGATTAATAACATTATAAGAATTTGAATAAGTTCCATCAAAATGAATATATTTAATTGAAGAAGAAAGATATGATGAATTTAAAATTAATGGTTGTAATATTGATGAAAATTTTTTATAAGATAAATCTGGTTGATTAAAAATAAGTCCATTTTTATCTATTGAAAATATTGAATAAATAATAGAATTAATACGTCTATTTAATGACCATAATGATATTAATATTTTATCCCATGATAAATAACAAAATATATTTAACAATATTTCATTTGGTAATGTTTCGAATGTACTTATCATTTTATATCAAAATAAAAACAAACTAGTTTTCTAAAAATTGATATAAAAATTCTTGTTCCAAGATAATAAAACCATCTTGTTTTTCTTATTAATTTTTTTTTCTAAGACTCAATAACAAAACTAAACTTTTTAATTTATGCTTAATAGTGTAAATCAAAGATTGATACAAGATGAATCAGAATCTAGCTGTATACTAAAAACTGATAATTAGACTTTTCATGTAGAACATATTTACACAATAATCTGAATAAAATTTTTGTGACAAACCTTAGATAAAGTCGAATTTGCTATTTATCGACATATATCCATCAATAAGTACGACATACAACGAACTTGATAGAACCAAAAAATGAAAATGACATCATCAAGAAACTCTTTTTTCTTTCACCTTTTAAAAGATAATTATGAATAGGAACCTTAACCTGTGCTAGAAATAACCTTCCAACATGACTTGTGCAGTAAAATTAGCGACAAAAATGTATTCGTATTGATAATGTCCTGTCTATTTCTCAGTACAAGTGCAGAACGAGAACACGATGAATATAGATACACAAAGGAAGAATGAAAAAAAAATAGA